AAAGACCCCGCAGTTCCTTTCTCCTCCATTATCCTCTCAGGACGTTGGGCACATGCACACAAGCGCCTGGCGTGGTTTTCAGGAGCCAGGTCTGGGACTCGAAGCATGGTTAGCTATGTGGGAGTATAGCACCTTAACCATCACACCACTATGCCACCTGTTAGTGCCAGCTTTTTCAGATTTTATGGTAAAAATGATGCCAATAAACTTTATCAGCTAATTAGTTTGTCTTCTTTTGGATAAGAGATTTAGTTTTATGTTAATTTTGAGGCAAAGCTGATCAGGATTTTAGAGCCAGTAGTGGAGAAAATGACTTGATGAAAAGTCCTCAGTGACTGAAATTCAGAGATGTTGTTAACAACAAGAACCACAGGTTGCAACCTGCATAGGTGCCACGTGAGTAAACTAGTATGGGGGCTAACAGGTGGCATGATGTTTAAGGCATTGAACTCCAAAATGGCTGATGGTGGTTTGAGTTCCAGACCTGGTAGCTTAAAAAATCACATATGCCTGTGCATACCTGAAACCCAAGGAGACTTGAGAAAGGATTGCATCCCCACCACCAGCACCACCAGGAGGTGTTTTCTCAGTTTCCCTGTCTGTCTTTCTGGTGAGCACATAAGCCCTATGACAAAAACCTGAAAAAAAAATTAGCATAATACTTTTTTCACAAGTCACTGGTAGCCACCTTCTATGTATAAAGCTTTCTCTCTTCTGCTGAGGAAACTTAGACATTGTGAGAAAAGCTGACCTGTGAGTACCATCGAAGTCTTAGAATTCTTATATTTACTATAATCCAATGTCTGTGCCCTTGATATTCATAACTAATTAATAAGCGATGTCAAAAAGAACAGTGAGATCTGTTAAGAATAGCATTTATCTGGGACTCAGCAAACCCGAGTTCTACTTCCAGCTTTGCCAGCTATAAGATTATAAATACTGGGGGACTGGGACCAGCAGCTAGCGTAATGGCTATGTCGCTGAACTCCCATGTAGCTGACCACGGTGTGAGTCCCAGACCCAGTGGCTTAAACTCACGCCGGGCGTGTATGCGTGCGTGCCCAAGATCCCGAGAGGAGAATGGAGGAAAAGGGATTGCGGCATGGCCATCCCCCCTGGGAGGTGATTTCTTGCTTTTTGTCTCTCTCTCTCT